ACGTAAAGAACAGCCGTGTTAGTTTTGGTACCAGCAAACCTCTGTTTCTTTCAAAACCCCATCTAGGAGCAGTGCCCCATAGCTCCTGCCTCTGCTGATGCTCATGGTAAAAAGAAAAACATCTTTCTGTTGACATCAGCGAGGCAAGGAGTGGGCCCAGCTTCATTCACACCCACACGGTATGTTTAATTAGAAACTATTTTCCTCTAGGAGCAGGCATTTGAATTTCTTGAGATGTTGCAGAGAGCTTCAAGAAGGAGTTGCCGAGGGGTGGGGGTGTTTCAGGTAGGAGGAGGCAAATAACAGTTGGGAAAAAGAAATAAAAATTAGGGTTTTGGATCAGGGTGGTTTTGTAATGATCCACAGTCAGAGGCTGTTTTCATCCTCTTCATATTTTTCAGAGGAGTTTTCCATCCCTTCAGGGTAAATTTGACCATAATCCAGCTAAAGCTATTTTCTAACCAGAGTTAACATAGGCAGGATTGTGCTGCGTCAGGGAAGATATCACAGCCATATCATCTGCCTTGTGCTTGCTTTCCTGTAGATGTCCTCTCTAGCCTTCCATGGACTTTTTCCATTGTGTGCTTTCAGTCCTGTTCCCAGGGAAATAGCTATTTATTAGTGTTGTAACGAGCAGGTTTGCACTCAACTTAATTAGCAGACTCCGTGTCCATAGCCTGCTTGCTGCTTGGCCGTCAGGATTTATGAAGGAACCATTAACTGCTTGCCTTGTATGTGCAGTTAAATGGAATTACGGCAGATTACAGCCCATGTGTGACAATTTAATGGCAGTGGCAAAACACAGCTGAAGTCAGAAATTTCATGAGAGCTGTCCTAATTCATGCCCTAATGACATGTTTGTGTTTGTAAATACCCTCTTGGCTTGCGTGATGTGCCAAACACAGAATCAGGGGCTGAAAGCTAGTCTCTGACTACAGGGAGGTTCTGTGCTTTAATAAAAAGCCCCACCTTATTGCAGCCAACAGTATCCAGTCTCTCCATATGTGGAGGCTGCTATTGAGATGACCCTTGAGACGAAGTGTTTTGAAAGCAGCTAGTAATTTTTTGAGAAGTGTGAACGCAGAGTGAAGTGTTTCTTAGGCTGCTCCTTTCCTCTGAGACATATAAAGGAGAAATTGCATTTGGCCTTCCAAAGAAACCATGCATCCTGGCATGTTCATCGCAGGTGGTAGAGCACAGGAGGGATCAGGAGTGCTGACCAAGTGCAAGCACCGCTGTTGGTTAAAGGTGCAAGAGGGACTTGCTGGGAGTTAATAACAGTTTCAAGCCTTCCTATTAGACTCTTCAGAGCAGATAAAGTCAGGCAGCATGTGTGCATAACCATCCCATGGAGAAGGATGGGAAGTTTTAAGCATTTTCTGAAACCTGGTGGTAGGTGAGGCAAGAAGAGCTGGTTTCCTGGTAGATGGGAGCTGCTCAGAGATGCTCTCTGATGGCAGTAGTGGAGAGCCTGGGGGAATAATGAACAGACGGAGACATGCAGTGACTCCCTGAAACATCCAGTGCCCACTGCCTTATTGGATTCTGGCGCAGTCCTTCCTTCTGCTGCTTAATTCATTCTGATTACTTGATAGCTGACTAAAATTGAGTAAAGCTGTCACTACCAGCAGGGAAGATTAAGATATGTTGTACTACTCCTGCTTATTTTCCTTTCAATTTGGAGAATAATGCAGTGCCAAGGCACAGTGGTGCTATGCCTACACTACAGCCCCCTGCTTTGCTGCGGCGGTCCCTTGGCTCTGCTCAGTGGAGTGAAGAGGAGGAGAAATGAGTGGGGTGACACACGGAGTATCTCTGTCCCAGGGGACAGGATGTTCAAACAAGCTGCTGTAGGCAACGCACTGTGTGCAGCTCGTAAAGTGGAAAAATACAGCTTCAGACTCCAGGGTAGAGGTTACCTTAGGAAAGATAATGGTGTTATTTAGCCTCAGGACACCACCTGTGAGATGTTCAATAAGACCAGTGCAGATCTGGGGGAATGGGATGTCACTGGGGATGTCTGGGAGAGCCAGAGAGGATCTTCAGGAGTGTGAATATTTCAAGGGAAAGATGTTCACCTGAAGGCAAATAAAAAGTACAAAACCTTAATTTTGTAAAGAAGAGACTGTGTGAGGGACTGAGCTGGTACCATGTCACTCCGCTGTCTGCAATTGGTTTAGCCCTCTTGTGCTTGATATTATGGTTCTGATTATGAAAAAATGCTAATCTGTTACTGAATACTTTAACAGCTGAGTAGCAGTTGCTAGGCTCTTGCAGTCCTGTCATTTGCTTTGTTTGCTGTCATTGTAAATACTATTGGTTAAGAATTTCATGTTGAAATGTATTTCTTGCACGATCAAACTTTTAGGAAGGGTTTTGTTTTTCCGGAAAGGAAAACGTAAAGGAAATCTTTCATTTGCCGTAGGGTTAGCACAGACTGAAATCTTTATAGCACAGAAACAAAATACTGTATTTTCAGTGAGTTCAACACTGACCAGTACCACCCCCAAAATGCTTTCTGAGTGATGCATGTTGTGTGCCCAATTTCCCCCTGCAGCTCCCAAACTGTGCTGTACCTGCTCATCTTGACAGAAAATGGGGCACATAGAAGGCTGGTTTAGATGTATCCTGAAGTCCCCTGAGTGCCCTTGTTTTCTGGGGAGCCTAGGCAATCTCCCGGTGAGAACTAACCTGCATACATGTCTTTATCTGAAGCTTTAAGTTGCACTGTAGGAAATATATTTCACATGGGAATCTCCATAGTGCTAAAGGGTGCAGAGAAAATGGAAGCCACAACTCGGGGAGGCTCTGTTAGGCCATGCAGAAATACCATTTCACTTTGAAGGTAGCCAAAGTGACATGTTTTGGCTTGCCTCAATATATAAAACTGAAACATTTTGTTTCAGTCAAAATTAACATGTTGGGAAAAATGACAACTTTGCATTAGAATTTGTATTTTAAAGTAATTTTGATCAAACATGGAAATTCCCTTTTGCATAGGAATTCAGTTTTTTTTCTCAGGTGTGACTGTAATTATTGATGATTAGTTTGAGAGACTACATTCTGACAATTGCTACTTTTCTATATCGGTGCTAATTATAGTATGTTTTACAAACAGTAGCAAGCTCACTGTCAGGAAAATAATTTTTAAATGAGGAGAGATTGTTTAGTGCTATTTTCTGGCTGAGAACAGCAACCAGCATGAGAAATAACTGTGGGTTTCTGGCCTGCTCTAATGTTTTCTTCTGGTTTGACCCAGAATTGTCCCTTTCCTCCCAACAACTTATTAAACTGCATTTTTTTATTATGGTTTTGTATAGCTACTGCTTGGGAAAGGGCACTGTCCCTCCATCACAGGGCTTCTGGCACAAGGGGAAGCTCAGTATGATTGCAGCTTTAACATGCAACCATATTACAATATGCATTTTGTCATAAGTAGGCTATTATAGATAGATTTTCTTTCACATTACAGTAAAAATGTCCAGGTTTCAAAGAAACTAAAAAGCAGTGTTAAGGTGATCTGCTGAAATTGTGGCTTGAATAATATTAATTTCCAAGATCACACTGCAAAGATCTACAGGCTCTTTTCATTTTTAGGAACCATATAATAAAGGCTGTAGTAGCTCATTTGCTGAGGAGTGAGTTATGTGTCCCCTGCTGTGGCAGCCTGTGATTAGAGGGAGCTGGGTTTCCTCCTCACACAACCAAGACATCAGATAAAAAGCAGTGTTCCTCCTGTGGAGCAATCTGGTTACTTGCTGTGTAGTATGTTCATGACTAAGTAACCGCTCCTGCTGATGCTGCAGTCCCAGGGGCAACCCCAAATGAAACCCCAGCCAGCAATCAATGTGTGAATCAATGTAACTAATTTTCTTTTACTCTTTTTTATCTTTTTTTTCTTTTGTGCAATGAAAACAAATAATTGGGTGCCATGGACTGCTGCTTGATCCAAGGGCTGTACTTTCTTCCCTTCAATAAAGGTAGCAATGAGTGCTCCTCCTTTTATTTTTTTTCACCAGTTTTTGAGCAGCTCTGTGGGAAGCTCTGAATACTTCAAGCAGTGGCAGGGAATTTATTCTACTGGAAAACTTATTGCTCCTAAGGACTGGAACTGTAACGTTAAATATCACTAAAGCAGCGCTGTGATTTACCCACGACAATTGCAATAGTTAAGTTTTACCCTCCTGCTGATGAGCAAATTCATGCAGAGAAGATAAGGGGCCTCTCTAGGGTGTTTTTGGTAGGGAGCAAAGCTCCAGGGGCAACCCTGCTTTCCCAGAAACAAGCACAAATAGCAGTCTCTAAAGATATTAATAAACAATGAGAAATTCCTCAGTCTGGTGAGATTTACTTGATTTTATTACTGATACTTATTGTGAAAACCTTGATTCAAAGGTTCACTGCTATTATGGGCAAGGAAAAAAGCATGAATACTTCTAAACTGACTCAACATTTGACCAACCTGTCAGTTTCATAGGTCATTATCAAGGGATTCTTAAACCGATTTATAGTCTTGGCTCCTTCAGTGCTTTGAGAACTGGAAAATTCACAAGTTGAAGTGTACTGCTGAAGTTGGCTTGCTGAGTTACTGAACTTTGAGAAAGATGGCAATGGGAGAGAGCACATTGTTTATCATCATCTCACTCAAGGAGTTATGAAGGGGGTTTTATAACAGAAGACAAAATCACAAGTAGGAGTTTAAAATTAGGCATGAAAATGCAGTCATCCTCAAATAGGTTATAAAAATTCAAAATCCGGAGATAATAACCTGAGTGTAGGTTGGGCAGATTCTTCAATCTAAAGAAATTAACATTGTTAGACTGATGAGGGTCCCTCAAAGTAAAATTTCTGAAAAAGCAGGGATGGAGTAAGAAAGGAGGATGGCAGTAAAGCTCAGAGAAAAAGGCCATTTAAGCACCATTTATGTTTGCATATCAGATGACGAATAGAAGATTCATGAGATGGAAATGACTCCTCTTATATGATTTTTCCAAATTCAGAAAACACAGATGAACACAGTAATTGTTCCATGCAAGCAGCAGAGAACAGATGTCAGCCAACTGTCCCAGCTGAGGAACCCAACAGTGCTATTTCCAGATCCAGAAGGAAATGAGAAAGTAAGTCTGAGGAGTAATGGGAAACTTGTATCTGGTAGTTAATTCTTTGAAATATTACTCAGAAGTTTAGTTTTCCATAGATCAGTATCCCAGACATGAGAATTTCCAATCTATTTTGATTCCAGTGGCAGTGAGTTAGTCGACTGCAGGGGTTTTGAAAATCTTCTGTCTGACAGAAGGCAGGTCTAATGATCATTGTATTCATATAGGATGTGGATAATTGTAAGTGAAAATGGGAGTATCTTGTGTCTTGGGTGAATACCCTTCCAACTGACAACTACCATCTCTGTGGTGTACCTCTTCCTTTCTTGAATTTCGTGTAATTTCTATTCTTGACCTCAGCAATGCTGCCCGTGAGAGTTTCATGAAAACCAACACGTTGCTGCAAAAAGCGTTGGGTTTGAATTGTCATACATCTCTGATGAAAAAAAGTAGTTAGAAAATTCTCAAACCAGCTCTCATCTCAAATGTTAATGTCATTTTTCTGTAGAGAAAAAGCTTTTTGGAAGAAGGATTACATTTTTGTTTTACCAGTGTCCTCCAAATGTGCATTTCCAGAGACAGACCCCTTCAAATGAAAATGCTTATTATGAGCCATCAAAGGCTTTATCAGAGATTTTTTTGTGCTGCCTTGATTCAGAGACATGTGGCAATTGCTGGTAGTGCTACACCGACATTCAGACCTTGGCATAGGCGGACCTTAAGATTAAGACCTTAACCACACATCTGAAATTAAGAAATAGAAGGCCTTGAGGACAAACCTCAACTATTTTTCTAGACATAGAGAAGGCAAGGAATTGAGCAACCCTGTACACTATCCTAACTCATACCCTAATGTACTGTTCGTATCTGGCACCAGGTGAAAGAGGATGCTTGCAGATGAGTTGCAAATATCAGGGTTACTGTGGGTAAATTCTCGTGAGAGTTGTGAGCACAGTTTCAAGCCATCACTTCTTGTTCATCCATATTTAGCAGGGTCAAAGGGAAAGCGTGAATTGCAAGATTTGGACATCTGGATGAGACAGGAAAGAAAGGAGAGTGTCTTCACTGGTTCTCCAGCTTTCTCTTGCCCCTTGCTAGCTTTCAGCAAACTCATTTGGCTCAAGTGCTCTTCATTTGAAAGCTGATTTCTTGCAATCATTTTGACTTGTTAGGAATGGGGTGGGACTTAAGCCTATAGACTTTTAAAAAGTAGTTCCTGTTATGAAAAATCTTTTATTCTAGCAGAAAACACTCAAGCTGATAATGAAAATAAACCTGAGAATGTTGACCATATGGACATCCTGCAAGAACTTTGGTATGCAATCCCTGTCACTCAGCTCTGTAATGATTGTGAACTACTGAGAAGAAAGGTGAGCACAAAAAAAGGACGTTACTAAAGACAGCAGCAAAGATTGTTTTGTACAGCTATCACAGGTGGAAACCTGTGTTACCTTCTCACTCGGTTCTGCAGCACCAGGCAGATGAGAGAGCAAAGGAAGTGCATCTCCATACAGTACATGGGAAGCCCACCACCACTTTTGGCGGATCTTGACGTTTTGTTTTGAAAAACAAAACAAAAAAACCCATGCACAACAAGCAACACATTAACTTGGTGTCTTGTAATTCAGAGCACATTTAGACAACAGCCCTAGCAGTTTCCTAAATTCAAAGTACTGTAGTTGCTCACTACGGGGAGTGCTTGGTGCACGGACACTGCTGCAGGTGCACACTCAGGTATGAATGTGCTACTTATATTAAGAACAGCTTGGGGAGAAATGGAAAGATGTTGCTGGGATCAGCACAGTTCTATGGGTAAATGTTGAAGTTCTGAGTGAAAAAACATGATGTTTTAGTTGCTTTTCCTCTTTCTGTTCCATCCTCAGCCTTGAATCTGTCTTTAATGATGGTGTCTCAGTATAACAGACAGTGAGTAGGGGTTAATGGGCTTGGTATTTTAGAATTGTAACATGGAGATCGAAAATCTAAACATTAGTCAATATTACAGGATAAATTGAAGAATTTTTAATTGCTTTTGGTTAAGATGTGTATCAGTCACCAGGGGACACTACTAGTTGTTTAAACTTAATTTTTACATGGAGGCAGAAGTACAGACTGAATGGAGAGTGGAACAGATTAAAAAATATTTAGATAAGATGGATGTACTCTAGTCAGCAGGGTCTGATGGAATTCACCCCAGAGTACTTAAGGCACTGCCTGAAGCAATCACTAAGCCATTAGTGATTATCTTTAAGAACTCACAGAGGAGAGAGGAGGTCCCTGCAGACAAGAGAAGGGCAAACACAGTATATTATATTTTAAAGAGGGGAAGAGAAGGACCCAGGGAATTGCAGACCTGTCGATCTAACTTAGGTCCTTAAAAGATACAGGAACAAATCATTAAACAATCAATTTGCAAGTAGCCAGCTGATATGGTGAAGGGGGTGGGGGGGAAGGGAGGAGGAAAAGAAAAACATAGGCTTGTCAAGAACAGTTGATGTCAAATCAATCTAATTTCCTTCTTTGTGACTGTAGCATGTCTAGTGAATAAAGAGGAAGCAGCAAATGCAATAGTGCTTGATTTTTAGTAACACTTTTTGACATCTATGACAGGCTAAAGAATATGGTATAGATATAATTACGATGGGGTAGGTGCGTAGCCTGTTGAAAAATAGCTCTGCAGCAACAGCTAGTGCTGGATCACTGTCAGGGAGGGTATTTTGAGTAGGTCATACAAGACGGTTTGTCTTGTACCCAGTTCTATTAAGTACTTTTTATTGACAACTGAACAACAAGCGAACAAATCCAGCCAGTGGATGACACAATTAGGAGGTGCTGTGAGTCCTAGAAGGTCAGGATCTCAATTTGAAACAAGTCTTCACAGCTTGGAGAAATGACTCCCAAATGTTTAAACGAAATTCCATCAAGAACAGTCCAAAGTACTGTGCCTGGAAAAGAGAGACAGACACTTTGGTGGTGGGGGGAGAAGGTAAGGTGGAATAACCAGGCAGCAGCATGTTTGTAAAAGACTTGAGTATTGCAGGGAACAATTAATTCAATGTTCTGGGTTATAGGAACAAGAGCATCATCCTTGAGGCACTGCTCACAATTATTTTCCTTTCTTGGCTTCACCTATGGTACCGCATGCAGTGTGCCAGAGTGCCACCTTTTCCTGCAGATGAAGACAAAGCAGAGAAAATCCAGGGGAAAGTCAGAATGTAGGGCACCAGAAAGCACAAACTGTGAGGAGATGCTGAGAGAATTGGGTTTGTTTGTTTGTTTGTTTCAGGAAAGCAAAGGCTAAGAGAGTAACATGGCAGCAGATGTCCAGTGTAGAGGTGAGGGCTGTGAATGAGACAGTGAGCAGTTGTTCTCTTTGGATGTGGAGAGGATAAAAAGCAGAAATTATCTTGATTCAGCACTTAATGTCAGGGTGAGAAGAGCTGGCACAGTCATGCAAGGAGGCTCGTTGCTGTTTGGTTTTGAGTTTCTTAGTTTGTTTTCTTCCCCTTAAGACAAGCCAGGCAGTGCTGTTGGGAACCTCAGGCTCCGTGTCAGTGGGGAACTCATGCCATGAGTTCCTCACAGCCACACATTTCTACTCAGGGATAAAAAGAAATAATGTAAAAATGTCCTTATTGCTCAAGTTTCCATTTTAACATTGCTTTGACAATATGCCAGAAATTGTTTGATTTGATGGTCTTGCATTGCTCACCATGAAAATGTCAACATTTATTCTCTGTTACCATTCTCTGTATTGAAGATACTGCAGTATTTTAGTTCATAATAAGCCAGCTGGTCCATTACACATGCTCTCTTTATGAACATCAATTACTGCCTGCTTTAGACTCTCCTTCTTTCTCCATGGCAGCATCACTCCAAACCTTATTTTGTGGAAGATAAGAGACAAAACAGGCTTATATAAATATTAATTGAGAATGTTGTGAAAAGAGATTATCTGAGAATCTGTCCCTTGGAGAGAGCAGCAGAGCAGACTGTTGCATTAAAAACATCTTAATGCAGCTTTCCAGCAGAACACAGACACCCCTTAAATACTCTGCATAATCAGATCCAGACATGGGCAAAAACCCAAGGCTTTCTTGTTGTGTTGCTGTCAAGGGTACAGCTCCTGATTTCAGTAGTTGGGGTTCTGCTAGCCCCTGCTAGCATCTCCCCAAAATCAACAGGCACTATGGGCCCCAGACCCTACAATCCAGACATGCTGTGCCAACAGTGTTGCCCTGCTGCCTTCTTAGGGGCATGTGGCTTACCCTACAAGTTGGTGACTATTTTTCCTAATGCTATCACCTATTGCAACCCAGCCTGTCCCTTCTTTAAATCGTACATAGTCTACCCCATCGCTGCAAGAAGTCATTGATTATAGGGTGTGTTAGCAATAATCCCACAGTTAATGTCTGCTGGTTTGTTAGAGAAGTGAACACCCTCAGCTTTGCTTTCAGCTATTAATTAACCAACCAGTCATTAACTGCTGCTAACAATTGATTTACAGGGAATTATTGCTTAAATAGCAGGAGGTATTTAAGAGGAAAATAAATTAAAACAAAGAACTGCTGGATCCTTGGGCACAAAAAAGGACTTCTTGTAATACAGAGCATAGCTGCTACAGCACTGTAATTACAGAGTGATAAACAGTCATTGGGAAGTACGTTCCTTTCTAGAGACAATGACATTATGTCTCCTGGAAAGAGTCCCTTTGTCTGCACTAATTGAATGATCTGAAATGAATGATGTTATCAGAAACCTAACCAAGGCAACTAATGTTATATTTATGGGTTATCAAAAACGTTTAATCACAGCTGCGGTCTCTCCAAGATGTGTCATGGACACTGCAGCATCCAAAAATATAATTGAGGGCCAGCACGGCACATTGTCTTAATTATAAAGGAGAATTACAAGTTCTTCCACTGATTCTGCCTCCTTCCAAACTGGCAGAACAAATGAGACCTATTAACCTAAGTGCAAGCGAACACCGCCTCCTAATGACACTTTTTCCTCTTTGTGGACAGAAAGTGAATGAGTGGTTGCATACTATTTTCCCTAGGAAATAGTGACCTAAATCAATTTACAGAGCCTGTGACACGTGAAACCCCACTCACGGCCACTCCTGTTGAATCTGCCCAGGTTTATTCCAACACGGTCAACATCTAGATTGATTAAGCGGGTGTTGCTGAGCAGGTCAAGGTGTATTTGCACTTTCCTGGCCAAATTAAGCCGTGTTTCACTGCCCTCTCCTGGAGCCAATGGCTGCCTGCTCTGCTGCCGTTTAGGCCCTTTTGGTACCCCAGCACTAGCAAAAATGCATTTCATATGAGAGCACAGGGAGAGAACTGCTGCTTTTTCAGACCTGAGGCTGTTGATTTCTCTTGCTGAGAGGCTCTGCATGAGATGGCCAGAGAACAGATGGGAAGGTATCGCTTTAAAAACAGAACCTGTGCTTCAGCTTCTGAGATCGCTTACTTTCATTAGATAGATGTCAGTTTTCCTCCCCACCTGCATTTTTGGGAGTTGTTTTCTTGTAAACACAATGGCAAAAGTATGACCCAGCTCATGTGGAGAGCAGTGCCCATGAGGGAGCAGGGAGGAGGGAGGATAGAGCTCAGGTATAACTGCTGGAGGGGTTTTGCTTGAGGGCAGTTAAGGATACTCAAGTAGACAGTAGCTGAGGACAACACCTTACTTGCTCCAGGAAGAAATGTCACAGCTTTGATCACTTTGAAAAAGGTAATTGGCAAAGCCCTGAGCAAAGTCCTGCTCTTCTGCCTCCCCCCAGCAGCTGTGTCCTAAGCTTTGCCTCTCTCCTTTTCATTTATCTGGATAAACTGAGCTGTGGGGACCTGGAAAACGCCCAGTTTTGAACTTTCAATCAAAATCTCAGGTTTGTATCCAAGGCTCACAAATGCTGCAAAAAGAATTTCCTCAGTCCTGCAATGAATAGCAGACATTTTTGAATAAAACTTTAAACTCCCAAGCTTTCTCTTGTTGGGCTTCAGCTGGTTTGGTAAAGATGTATCTGGTTTGGGTTTAGCATCATTGCAGATATCCTGGAGAGAAGAGTTCATAGTAACCTCTTGCCTTAGCTTCCCTGTCCTTTCATTCATTTACAGCTACAAGAATAATTAACTTTTTGATTATCCGTAAAATAAATAGCTGCATATAAAGGGCTGCAGAGTACCACAGAAATTGAGCAGGAAGTAAGGATTGGGATATTTTGCATTTCTTCACCTTACCATTCCTGCATGGCTGGACCTCAGTATGTTTCTGTACCAGGAGGTGGCACTGATAATCACAGGGATCTGCAGCAGATCTGAACCGAGAACTGGTTGGTAAAACCTCTCTGTTGATATGAAGCATGACTGCAGCTGTGTGAGCCTTCACAACAGTCTGTGTGTCTGTTTTGGCTTTATTTAACCTGCAGAAGAATGGCAGACAGCCTGTCTCTACCCAAAATTCTCAGTTGAGTCTCAAAAAGGAAGTGCAGAAGTCTCATGAATGGTTATAGGATGTCAAAAAATGGGCTGCTAGCAAGGAGAACATCAGTAGTGTGGTCCCTTAACGCATTTATAGTATTTCAGAGCATCATAAAACTGTTATCAAGTGAGAAGTACACAGTCCTCTCAAAATATGCCTGAGAAAGTTCTGGTGCTCCCGGTGAAGGCAGAAGTAATACTGGCATGGTTTTTGGACTGAGAAATCTTTCGTGATGGTTGTGGAGCTAGGGCAAAAAAATAGCCCAAATGCCTTCAGGCGCTGCAGTGCTTGACTTTTAGGTCCCAGAGAGAGAAACCAACATGCCTACGACAGGGCAGGTGCTTTGCACCTTGCAGGGAATCAGTATAAATCAGAGTAGGGAATCTTACTTGAAGTGTTTCGCAGAGTTTAGTCCATGGACTGTTGGTACTCTGTAAGGTGTCAGAAGGTATCCTGTCTAAGAACTGCAGAATTATCCTTAAACATTCATGCAAGGAAAGAAGCAAAAGTGGAGAATAAAAGTAAGTGAACACTCAGGTGTCAGCCTGACTGACTTTTGGTTCTGATGCAAAATATTACAGTAACGCTGCAGAGGGCAGTCCCTGGGAAAAACAATTGGGGTTTTGTTTAAAGACCTGGAATCATTCTTGTTTCCAGGGTGTCCTCTCAGGGCTGTGAGGAAGGCCAGCAGCTGCCTGCATCTCCTGAGGACAGGGCTTTTTGCCCCTCTGTCTTTCAGAGCACAGAAGGCTAGAGTCTTGTCTTGAGAAAACATGAAGGCTGTTTGTGGTAACTCTTGCTTGAAGGCATTTTGGAGATACTGGGAGTAAGTTGTTCAAATCTTCTGGTGCTCTAAGGAATTTTGAAGCCACATTTCTGATCTCCAAAGAGAGTTTTGTAGTTGCCAAGATGTAAGAGCATGAAAAGGGATGTCTTCCCTGAAGCTCACTCCAGAGCTTCCTGAATTTGTTTCCTAAGCCTGATGGAGGCATAAGCATGAGAAGCCAAAATGCAGCAGCTGTGCACATATCCAGATGTGGACTTTTTCTGCACAAAAGCTGCTTCCAGTGCTTGGCTCAGCTCAGGCAGAGTTAGCTGGGAATCTCAAGCATAGCCCTATTTAGGCTTACCCTGGCATGCCTGAGGAGTAAGATGTAACAAGAAAACTAAATAAATTGTGATCTATTGGAGGACTCAGTATTTTTAGACAGTTGATGTGACCACTTTTGGTGGGATATAAAGCCCAGTCACTCTTATTAGACATAGCCTATCCAACTCGAGGTGCAAACTGCCTCAGGATGGGAAGCAAGCAGATTCTCAGTTTTTCTATTTTAGCTCTGTGAGTACGAAGGAGCCGATAAAACTAATAAAGCAATGACTGATTTAGTTTGTCTAGTGGTGGTTGTCTATGGCTGTATCATCAGCTCCTCTCAAAACAGTTACCACGGTAATGAAAAACATCTGTAACGATTTAGAGGTTCTTAAGGACAACAAATGCATAACTTAGTCCAAGAAAGAAGTGATTAGGAAAAGGTCATACTGGATTTACTTCTCTGGAAGCACTATCTCTCCATGCACTTAACCAGAGGCCCTATTCACCTGAACACCTCATCTTTGTTCTTGTATCTGCATCTCCCAAGATCAACAGGGATTGCCTATTCAACACGTTTGCTTCCTTCTTTAACTAGGCTTTGACAAACTCCAAAGAAAATGTCTTGCCTGTGTGAACTGTCAGCACAGTTCACTTTTTATGCAGTAGGAACTGATCTGCTATTTATTTGATGTCATCTTTTTTCTCACATCTAATCAATAGGAATTGATCGCTATTGTTATTAATTCAGCTCAATGAAGTATTGCATGTTTCAAACAATCATATAGCTGATGAGGTAGGTATAACAATTGCTTCGTTTTTTTTCTCTGTTGTTATCTCATTAATGCATATTTTTCTCTAATTACAGCTTTACTTTGGAATTATAAATTCAAGGGACTTGATATAGAGAGAATGATTACCTGCTATGTTGAACAAAAATACTAGAAAGCTGCTAAAACCCATGGCAGAGCATTAGAAGCAGCATTTGAAGTAAGCTTATTTTATGTTCTTTCTGGTCAAATAAGGTTTTCTGTTGGGGAAATTAGGTCAAGCTATAGTAGAAGAACACTCTGAATAGAGCCTATCAGCAGTTTTAAGACCATGTTAAGTTTGTGGGTTCCAGGTACTCAAATGAGCTTTGTGTGAGGTGTTGCCTGAAGTCATGGATAATTCATGGACTGGTCATTACCTTACACTATCCTTTCTCACATTTTGATATTAAAAATACAAAAAACATTTATTCATCCTCTCAATTTTATTTTAGAGGCTCGATGTGTCTTTACATCCCTGTTTTAAAGTCATCATAAATGTTTCAAGGTTTGGGGGCCCGCAGTGAAGCCCAGGAGCAGGAAAGCTCTGTGGCGAGGGCTGTGAGCAGCTCTGCAAATGCCTGCAAAGGTTTGCCTCACTGCAAGCTGTGTGAAATATTTGAGCGGAGGAGAGAAGGCTGACATTTGGATTAAGAATTGTTGAGCACTAAATGTTTTTGAGACTGAAGATCTGGCAGCAAATAAGGTGAACCGAAGTGCAGCTTATCTATTTGGCTGGGTTTCCAGGGCTAACAAGTCCCTTGTCCAGGAAGCACACTGATTGCTGAGGGAGGAATGGGGCTGGGAAAATATTTTTATACTGAGGATGCTTTCACAGGTGCTCTTCCCTTTTGCTGATTATTCCCAAACAGCTTTTTTCTTCATCTGTGTGCAAGGCTCACCTGCATCTCAGTGCCAGCAATTTGCTCTTGAAGGGCCACTTTTTGATGAAATACTGGAGCGGGGGCTTCACAATAGCCTTGAGATTGGCCCATAGCTATCTGGCCTTCTTATCCAACATCTCTCACCAAGAGTAAATTCTGTTTCACCTACAGGATTATTTTGCTCAAGCTGCTTTTATCCAGTGGAACAGTTAAGATATTGACAAATAGTAAAGAATAACAACAGAACACCAACTGAAAGAGCAAAGCTTTCCCTCAGATGATTTTCTTTGAAACATCTGAAATAATTTCTGAATAAATGGAACTCCTCTATGAAAAACTGGTTTGTTTTGTTTTTAAAGAAAAAGAAGGGTAACAGGATGTAAGAAGGAGTTTGCCTTTGGAATCCATGCTGGACAAAGCTGAGCATAGATGCGAAATACTGCAAATTCTCTATAGAAAAGTGTTCTGTGATTTCCTAGGGATGGGACGAAAGAGTGAAATCTAGCTAAAGAGGGTTTAATAAAGTCCAGAATACTCATAGGTTGTTGTTTTGTTTTTTTTTTTTCAATTATCTTATAGTGTTCAGCTTAACTTCTGTATGCAGGAAATACCACTCTTGGGAATGATATTTCGATTTCTATTCAAATATCTATGATACTTGACTTCTATTTCCACAAGGGCTGGGCAGGTTCATCATGTAACCGATACTGCACACCAGATCAATTAGGTATTTCTGCTTAAACAGCTCCAGGACCAGTGAAGGAATAAGGAGGAACATCCCCCCACACTTTGGTCTATATTGGAAACCTGCTTGCATGTAGAGGAATGATTCCTTCGAGAGTTAACACTTGTTAAATATACAGATGTGAAGGAGACCTTTCAAATACAATGTTCACATCTTTGTGCACATTCTTTTCCCAAGATTAAGATCTTTTGGCCTTGGGTGCAGGAAGTTTCTCCTGTCACCTGATGAGCAAGCTTGAAGTTCACATAAATGCAATCATGCTCCAAGAATTTAAAAACAAAAAAAAAAAAGGGGGAAAAAACCCCAGTATGCAAGCCATGGGGTCCTGATTCAGGACAGGACCCAGCTACCTGTACTGGTGCTTGCCTAAAGTGACTTTGCTCTGCTATGAGACACTAGTCTGGGTGTTTGGAGGGCCCCAGTGAAACTTGAAAGGTGCTGTTTTGAAGTGCTGCTGGCTTTTCCTACAGTTCATCGCAGATCTTGTTAGGAAATAAGGAGAGGAAACTGGGCAACTGCGCTTCTCAGCCATGAGGAAACGCACAATGACCGTGATGAAGCCAGCAGCTGCAAGACAATGGGAACAGGCTGGGGCTATTTTTGTTAGATGTGAACAATCAATTGAACGTGTGAGACCTTATCGTGCTCCCTCCCCACCTTCTCCCCCCTTTTTTTAACCATGGAAATTTTCCCAAAGAGAAAACAGCTTTCATTTTCTCTTAGCAAAGTTGATTACCATAATAATTTTCTCTTTCATCTCAGAGCAGGTTTCTTTTGGAAGTCTTTGATGGCTTCCTCTGAGCACAATTATTTTCTTGCTGTGACTGAGTGACATGCAGCTGGGTCATACTCGGCATTTTGAAACCTGGAGCAGCATTTGCTGGTATTTATGAGTAGGTAAGGATCCCCTCGCCTCTCGCTTGCTGGATGTGGAGGCTGGAAGCATTTCTCCCAGAGTTATTTTCAGGGCAGAAATCTGAATTTGAACTGGGCATAGCTTTCACAGACAGAAAATAAACAGCAACCTTTCATACTCTATCAGATGTAATGAGGAGAAATACATAATTAAGATGGTAATCAGCACTCTGATAGCTGAATTCCCTCTTATCTTTATGACTGTCTTCTCAGAACAGTCCTTTTAAATGTCTTAGCAATATTAGCTACAAATCACAAATGGAAAAATCGAGGGACATAAGCACATGATTTATGCTGTCAAGTGAGCGTGAAAGAAAAGACAGTTTGCTCTCTAAACAGACTTACATTTTTCCTGTATGTTCAGACATGTGTATTACTCCCCTGATATAATTGTCTTATTTACATTGTTCCAATGTTCTGTGTGCCAATAGCAGATATACTACCCTAGATTCTCATATTTCATAACTATGAAAGGAATATATATTTGTAAATGAGCTTTTCTAACATCTTGTGATATTTCAAGCATGCACTGAAACAGCACTTCAGGTTTGCTATTAATATTTTTTTATTTTCAGTTCGTCCATGTGTAAGTCTCTCTCCTATTAGTCACATATGATCGATACTTTCTACACCTCTACCCATTATCTTAAAATCACTGAGATCTGGCTAGGACTTCATACCACAATTCTTGCTATTACTTAATTTCATTATAATGACATGTTTACATTGGTAACAGTTCAATCAAAATTGGATGTGTTTATAACACTTACTGCAGTTTAGATTAACAGCTTACTTCTACTTTACTACAAGGAAACCACTAAACTGACTGTAACTCCTAATCAATATAACTACAATTCTTAGCATTTAAATAAGTTTTTAAGCACTCTTGCCCGTGCTGCTAAAGGTGACATGGTTGTCTCATCTTACCCATTTGGGTGAGTCCAACTACTTACTCATTGTACTGTCCAACTATGCTTCTCTGTTCCAATTTGTCTCTACCAGTTCACCATCGTTTTCTCAAAATCCAGCAGTCTCACTGGGAGCAGCTGTGGCTCAAACCCAGCTCAGTGCTGAAAACAAAGATCACAGTTTTCTCAGAGTGGCAAAGTCAGTGCTCCGACCTCACCAGTCACTATCAGAGAAACCTCAAACAGTGCTTGTGACCAGAGTTCACGGTTTAGGAATTTATCCTCTGTTTCGGGCTGGTCTACAACACAATGACACAACTTGCAAGCATTGTAGTATCATGGTCTGCACACTGAATTACTATTTTTGTCAGTGTTTTGGCTATATTTCAGCTGAGGACCCAAGTGTATTTCTAAGCATGCCTCAGGCACACCCTGCTCTCATACCAGAGGGCACCAGTCCCTACCTAAACCACCACCCCCCCCTTTCCCTTCTTGTGGAAAGGAAACCCAGCTGCAGGAGACCAGACCTTGCATACTTGAGCAAAACTTTGGATAGTCAAACACTGATGCATTGTTCAGATGTAATATGGCATCCTGATGTAGACTGTTGTTTTGTAGGTTAGGCAAAAGCTCTCTTTGAAAATAGATGTGTAATTCCTATGGCTGCTGAGCTCCATAGTGATGGGAGCTTTAAAGCAGGCTTTGGGGAAGACCCTGACTGAGGTATATTTTTATTGGATGTAGCAAAAGTAGACAAAACTGCTAAACACTGGAGAAAAAGAGCTTCCAGGCAGGTAACCCACATCTAAGTGCTATAGCACTATGGTTATTATTTGCTTGCTTTTTTTATCCCATAACTGACTCTGAACAGTATAAAATGAGATTTGGAAAAGCCTTTTAACAACCTATATACTTCCGTAACCTGGTTTCCCAGGTTTCCTGTTAAAAAAAAGGAGCTCCAAAACCTCTTCCCTGAAACAGCTGGAACTGAACTTCTCGGTCCTGTAGCCCTTCCCTGAAAAGACTGCTGCCCTCTGACTTTGGCTCTGAATTGCACAGTAAAATGCCTAGAAACTGGAGCTCTGTTTTCTTGGTGCTTCTGGGTATTTAAGAGCCCTTTCATTAGGGAGAGATGACAGCTTTCTTTTCAAATCAACTCATTTAGGGGGAAGAAATCCAAAACAACAAATCACAAACAAACAAAAAGCACAAGAGGAAGGGGAAGGAAAAGCTCTCAGCTCACACAGCACAAAGATTGTTTTGATGTTTTTGGAGATAGACAATGTTTTTAATTCATTTCTTACAAGTGAGTCGGAGTTCAGTAAACCTGGGGTCCTTTTCCACTGTCTCAGAGAAAGCAAACTGAAAGCATTTTGTCAGGAAATGCTGAACACAGGGCTGTCCATCACATTGAAGTAGGCAAGGCTGGTGGGAATCCAACTGCCTGACTTTAACATTGTCCTTGCTTTGGAAGTTCCAGTGCAAGCCCTCGGGTCCCTTCAAATGCACCCACCTTTCTCCTCTGCTCACTGCTTTCTGAAGCACAGACTGGGTGGGTGTGAATTGTGCCCAAGCTGAGCTGACCAGATGCTGTCTCATCTTCTGAGTAGCTTTTCTGTATCTAATGATGGAAAAAACCTTACACATTTCCAGTCTCTGTGCCTGAGACCATAAATATAAGTA